ATCTCTACTGATTTACTTCTGTAGATAATATCAAATCAGTAACATTTTTCTCTACTGACTTACTTCTGTAGATAATATCAAATCAGTAAAATTTATCTCTACTGATTTACTTCTGTAGATAATATCAAATCAGTAACATTTATCTCTACTGATTTACTTCTGTAGATAATATCAAATCAGTAACATTTTTCTCTACTGATTTACTTCTGTAGATAATATCAAATCAGTAACATTTTTCTCTACTGACTTACTTCTGTAGATAATATCAAAATTACTTACCAACTACACTAAAGGGTTAGACCACTCCCAGTAAGTGCTTACCAACTACACTAAAGGGTTAGACCACTCCCAGTAAGTGATTACCAACTACACTAAAGGGTTAAACCATTCCACGTAAGTGCTTACCAACTACACTAAAGGGTTAGACCATTCTCAGTAAGTGCTTACCAACTACACTAAAGGGTTAGACCACTCTCAGTAAGTGCTTACCAACTACACTAAATGGTTAGAACACTCTCAGTAAGTGCCTACCAACTACACTAAAGGGTTAGACCACTCCCAGTAAGTGCTTACCAACTACACTAAAGGGTTAGACCACTCTCAGTAAGTGCTTACCAACTACACTAAAGGGTTAAACCATTCCACGTAAGTGCTTACCAACTACACTAAAGGGTTAGACCACTCCCAGTAAGTGCTTACCAACTACACTAAAGGGTTAGACCACTCCCAGTAAGTGATTACCAACTACACTAAAGGGTTAAACCATCTCAGTAAGTGTTTACCAACTACACTAAAGGGTTAAACCACTCTCAGTAAGTGCTCACCAACTACACTAAATGGTTAGACCACTCCCAGTAAGTGCTTACCAACTACACTAGAGGGTTAGACTACTCTCAGTAAGTGCTTACCAACTACTTTTACATAGACATCAGTTGAGACTCAACTCTGAATACCTCATACTTAATGTTTACTTTCGAGTTTGATTACATAGACATCAGATGAGACACAACCATAAACACCTCATATTTACTGACTACCTTTATATAGACATCAACTGAGAATCAACCCTGAACTGTTCATATTTACTGACTACTTTTACATATACATCAGCTGAGACACAACCCAGAGCACCTCAAACTTATCGAAAAATTCTACATAGATATCAGTTAAGACTCAACTCTGAACACCTCATATTTACTGACTACTTTTACATATACATTAGCTGAGACACAACCCTGAACACTTCATACTTACTGACTACATTTACATAGGTATCAGCTGAGACTCAACCCTGAACACCTCACACTTACTGACTACTTTTACATAGACATCAGTTGAGACTCAACCCTGAACACCTCATACTTATTGACCATTTTTATATAAACATCAGTTGAAATACAACCCTAAACACCTCATATTTAATTACTACTTTTATATAGACATCAGCTGAGAATCAACACTGAACACGTCATACTTACTGATTAGTTATATTTAGACATCAGTTCAGACACAACCCTGAACACCTGATACTTCCTGATTACATTTACATAGATATCAGCTGAGACTCCACTCTGAACACCTCACACTTACTGACTACTTCTACATAGACATCAGTTAAGACTCTACCCTGAACTCCTCATACTTATTGACTACCTTTACATAGACATCAGCTGAGACACAACCCTGAACACCTCATACTTACTGACTACTTTTATCTAGACATCAGCTGAGACACAACCTTGAACATTCATACTTAGGACTACTTTTACATAGACATCAGCTGAGACACAACGCTGAACACCTCATACTTAGTATTTACTTTTCGAGTTTGATTACATAGACATCAAGTGAGACTCAATACTGAACACCTCATACTTACTGACTACTTTTATCTAGACATCAGCTAAGACACAATCCTGAACACCTCATACTTACTGACTACTTTTATCTAGACATCAGCTGAGACACAATCCTGAACACCTCATAGTTATTGACTACTTTTACATAGACATCAGTTGAAACACAACCCTGAACTTCTCATACTTACTGACTAATTTTACATAGACAACAGCTGAGACACAACCCCGAACACCTCATATTTACTGTTTACTTTCGAGTTTGATTACAAAGAGATCAGTGGAGACTCAACCCTGAACACCTCATAATTACTGACTACATTTATCTAGACATCAGCTGAGACACAACCCTGAACATTCATACTTAGGACAACTTTTACATAGACACCAGCCGAAACTCAACCCTGAACACCTCAAACTTACTGACTATTTTTACATAGATATCAGCTGAGACTCAAACCTGAACACCTCATAATTACTGACTACATTTATCTAGACATCAGCTGAGACACAACCCTGAACATTAATACTTAGGACAACTTTTACATAGACACCAGCTGAAACTCAACCCTGAACACCTCACACTTACTGATTATTTTTACATAGATATCAGCTGAGACTCAACCCTGAACACCTCACACTTACTGACTACTTTAATATAGACATCAGTGGAGACTCAACTCTGAACACCTCATACTTACTGACTAATTTTATATAAACATCAGTTGAAACACAACACTAAACACCTCATAATTACTGACTACATTTATCTAGACATCAGCTGAAACACAACCCTGAACATTCATACTTAGGACAACTTTTACATAGACATCAGTTGAGACACAATGCTAAACACCTCATACTTACTGACCACTTTTATAAAAACATCAGTTGAAACTCAACCCAAAACCCTTCATATTTACTGACTACATTTAACTAGACATCACCTAAGACTCAACCCTGAAAAACTCATATTTACTGACTATATTTACATAGACATCAGTTGAGACACAATCCTGAACATCTCATACTTAGTAAATACTTCTACATAGACATCAGTTAAAACTCTAACCTGAACACCTGTTACTTACTGACTACTTTTACCTAAACATCAGTTGAGACTGAACTCTGAATACCTCATACTTACTGTTTACTTTCGAGTTTGATCACATAGACATCAGATGAGACTCAACCCTGAACACCTCATACTTATTGACCATTTTTATATAAACATCAGTTGAAATACAACCCTAAACACTTCATATTTAATTACTACTTTTATATAGACATCAGCTGAGAATCAACCCTGAACACCTCATAATTACTGAATACTTCTACATAGACATCAGTTAAGACTCAACACTGAACACCTCACACTTACCGACCACTTTTATATAAACATCAGTTGAAACTCAACCCAAAACACCTCATATTTACTGACTTATTTTATACAGACATCACCTGAGACTCAACCCTGAAAACCTCATACTTACTGACTACTTTTATCTAGACATCAGCTGAGACACAACCTTGAACATTCATACTTAGGACTACTTTTACATAGACACCAGCTGAGACACAACGCTGAACACCACATACTTAGTATTTACTTTTCGAGTTTGATTACATAGACATCAAGTGAGACTCAACACTGAACACCTCATACTTACTAACTAATTTTATACAAACATCAGTTGAAACACAACATTAAACACCTCGTAATTACAGACTACATTTATCTAGACATCAGCTGAGACACAACCCTGAACATTCATACTAAGGACAACTTTTACATAGACACCAGCTGAAATTCAACCCTGAAAACCTCATATTTACTGACTACTTTTATCTAGACATCAGCTGAGACACAACCCTGAACATTCATACGTACGACTACTTTTACATAAACACCAGCTGAGACACAACCCTGAACACCTCATACTTACTGTTTACTTTCGAGTTTGATTACAAAGATTTCAGTTGAGACTTAACCCTTTACACCTCATAATTATTGACTACATTTATCTAGACATCAGCTGAGACACAATCCTGAACACCTCATACTTAGTAAATACTTCTACATAGACATCAGTTAAGACTCTAACTTGAACACATGTTACTTATTGACTACTTTTACCTAAACATCAGTTGAGACTCAACTCTGAATACCTCATACTTACTGTTTACTTTCGAGTTTGATTACATAGACATCAGATGAGACTCAACCCTGAACACCTCATACTTACTGGCTACTTTTATCTAGACATCAGCTGAGACACAACCCTGAACACCTCATACTTACTGACTACTTTTACATAGACATCAGCTGAGACACAACCCTGAACACCTCATACTTACTGTTTACTTTCGAGTTTGATTACAAAGAGATCAGTGGAGACTCAACCCTAAACACCTCATAATTACTGACTACATTTATCTAGACATCAGCTGAGACACAACCCTGAACACCTCACACTTACCGACCACTTTTATATAAACATTAGTTGAAACTCAACCCAAAACACCTCATATTTACTGACTTATTTTATATAGACATCAGTTGAGACTCAACCCTGAACACCTCATACTTACCGACCACTTTTATCTAGACATCAGCTGAGACACAACCCTGAACATTCATACTTAGGACTACTTTTACATAGACATCAGACATTTGTTCAATTTCTAAAGAAAAGTTGTATTTGTTAGTAGTTTGAGTAATATTTCCTATTTGTTTTATTGTTAATTAGAAAGCTTAATTAACTTCATAAGTCTTCAGATTTACCACTCAGCCACCTTTCGGACAATATACCAATTTTATTAATCTTATGAAAAATATTTCGCAGTTGTTAAATTTTTGAGCAGTAATCTGAATCTCATATTTTGAACTATAGTAAAACAATATTACGTCAGTCTTTAAACTATATTAGTTATTAGTTCATTTTTGCTGACAATATTAATAGATTGGGCAATACTCTGTATCCAAGCAATCACATCCGTACTGGAACAAACTTGTTGAAATATAATATTGTTTCCCAGTGGCTCAGCGGTAAGTCTGAAACCATTGTTGGAACAGCGCAGAAGCCTATTGTGTTACTTTGTTCATAGCAACAACAAAGAAGTAAACAAACAAACAAATAAAAATGAGGTTGAAATATTTTATTCACAAAATAATTTATTTTCTTTTTCGCCAAGATACTGTTACATCGTGAGAGTTGAATAATATGAGTAAATATATTTGTTAAATAATAAATTGATATCTGTGACACTTTTAGCCGACACCAATACATTTTTCAAAGCTAAATACTTAGGTTTGGTTTCCATATACTTATATACAGTAAACTTTGATTACTACAAGCATATACACGTTTAGCAAGTTAAAACGTTACGTACTCGAACGTTAAACTTATATAAAACACTTGTACCCATCGCCCAACACATATTATCGTTGCTTTTAATAAAAACTTAACTTTAGCGATTAGCAGTCACCTTGAACCAAGACACTCAAGTTAAAACTTGGGATAAAAACACTAGTGTGTGTGTGTGTGGAAAGAAGAGAAAATATCAAGTTTCGAACAAAATATGGACCCTACGAAAAGAATTACGAAATGCCGTTACGATAGTAAACTCTTTCAAAAATTAAAAACCAGAGATTGATCTATCTGAAACTCCAGAAGACGAATTGAACGAATTCTAACTATAGATTTCTAATGAAATGTAGCTAAAAATATAAATATCCGACTTAATAATAAAATGATATGGATTCCAGGACTTGGGAAAAACTATAAAACTATCGAGTAGTTATGTATTATAGTGTGAAATACAAGAACTTGTCTGATGACTTGAAACAGTGATTTATAGTTTACAGCTTGTAAGAACGATAATTAGTCCACAAAAAAACTGTTTTACTTCACCACGACGTTATTTCTACAGCTATAGTTCACCACAAACCTATATTTTATTTATGTAGACAAGATCGTTTCGTACCTGTAGTTTACAATAAAGTTATATTTTACTTACGTAGACAAGATTATTTCCTACCTGTAGTTTACTATATAGTTATATTTTACTTACATAGACAAGATTATTTCGTACCTGTAGTTTACAATAAAGTTATATTTTACTTACGTAGACAAGATTATTTCACACCTGTAGTTTACAATAAAGTTATATTTTACTTACGTAGACAAGATTATTTCGTACCTGTAGTTTACAATAAAGTTATATTTTACTTACATAGACAAGATTATTTCGTACCTGTAGTTTACAATAAAGTTATATTTTACTTACCTAGACAAGATTATTTCCTACCTGTAGTTTACTATATAGTTATATTTTACTTACATAGACAAGATTATTTCGTACCTGTAGTTTACCGTAAGTAAAATATAACTTTATTGTAGACAAGATTATTTCGTACCTGTAGTTTACAATAAAGTTATATTTTACTTACGTAGACAAGATTATTTCGTACCTGTAGTTTACTATATAGTTATATTTTACTTACGTAGACAAGATTATTTCGTACCTGTAGTTTACTATATAGTTATATTTTACTTACATAGACAAGATTATTTCCTACCTGTAGTTTACTATAAAGTCATATTTTACTTACGTAGACAATATTATTTCGTACCTTTAGTTTACAATAAAGTTATATTTTACTTACGTAGACAAGATTATTTCCTACCTGTAGTTTGCTATAAAGTTATATTTTAAAGTTACTTTTAAAACCAATCTGCTCTATAGGATCTAGATCTCTAAAAAGGTATACTCTTTGTCATTGTGAGATAAAGCTTAAGATACATCTAATTCATTAGTGTTACATTTCTTACTTTACAACAGCAAATATTATTACACGTTACAAAATTTCATAAACTTAATAGGTGCCCGTTTACGGAAAGATTTATAAAGTTTTGGTATCTGGTTGTGTTGATATAGCCGTGAGAGAGTTCAATTTTTATTGTGTTGTATCAGTCTTCATTGATTTATCTAACTTTTAACATGGAATTTGGTGCAATTAAAGATATGTATTACTACAATTTTTGAAATTTTCTGACAGATCAGAAAATGAGAGTAGCTACAGCTTGAGGCCTAATTAATACATCGAGTTAATATTACTCGTGGAAGTTGATCTGATGTAAATATTCTGTGGATGGTCACACAGTTATGATGTACCGGTTAATTAAAAACAAATCTTTTAACCAACCATCTTGGAGAGAAGTCATATTCTCCCTTTCTGTGTGAAAACAACAAAACACCTGCATTATTAGGCACAAATAACTGAACGTTACCCTTACCCTGGTAGTAGGATATAACGATATCTTATCATATATAGTTGTCACATAAACCTGGATAAAATCTTGCTAGTTAGACTACAATACAAAAAGATATGATATCCAATACGGTCGTCACGTTACCCTAGATAGAATCCTGATATGATATCTTATACGGTCGCCATGTTACCCTAGATGCAGTTCTGCTAATAAGAAGATAACTTACAACGATATCCTATTCTATACAGTTGTCACATTACCCTAGTTAAAATCCTGATATGATATTTTATACGGTCGTCATGTTACCCTAGTTCTGCTAATTAGAAGATAACTTACAACGATATACTATTCTATACAGTTGTCACATTACCCTAGATAAAAGCTTGATAGTTAGAACATAATAGAAAAAGATATGCCGTATTATACGGTCGTCACGTTACCCTAGATGAAATACTGTTACGACATCCTATACGGTCGTCACGTTACCCTAGATAAAATACTGTTACGGCATCCCATATGGTCGTCATATTATCCGAGATGAAATCTTGCTACGACATCCTATACGGTCGTCACGTCTTACTATTTAGAATATGAACATAGAATGACATTGTATCCGCTACAGTCGTTTGTTTCGTTAGGTTAGATAAAGTCCAGTTAGTATAAGCAAAGTTAGTATGGTCAAAACGTCTCTTCTGTTAGTTTTGTATTATATATATTCTGTGAAATCATGCTCAAGAATGAGATAAACGCACAATGTCTTATACTTCAAAGCTCAATCAATGTGATACGTGTATAGCACATGGTTGACTGTTGTGCAGACAGTGAAAAGTATTTTTAAACTGCAGAGTTTGGTCGCAATACTGACACATGGAGGTCAACTAATAGACAAGTTCCGTCAACAGCTTCCCCTAACCACAGAGGCCTCTGTGTTCAGTGAAGAAAGAACATAGCTTTCATTCCACCCTTACGTTCCTCACTCAAATAAGGATTATCTTGATATGAACACTCCACGTGTGCAGTTACCGACCATGCGCAAAGAAGAAACTTTGAACAAGTGTTATCATAGGAAATTTAAAGAACAAACAATTATAGCTATTAATCAGAATGTGAGCTGCGCTTTATAGAGTGCCCTTTAGTAACGAGCCATATATTATATATCACCCAAGAACATAATTTAAACAATTTACAGCACCACTTGTAAAAATGACTTCAAACAGTTATAATACTCACAACACACATGCAAGGAACTCTGATATAAAACATCATGTGTAATATAGTGTTGGAATGTTACCTTCATTTCCGTATCCGTTGTGTATGGGATGGGTTGAGTACATGGTTAATTTACTACTTCTCTCAGCAACTTGTCAAGTATAAGTTAAGACATATGGAAGGAATCTACGTCACTAAACAGACACAAAAAATATGACATTTACATAGGACGTGAAATCTACAACTATACGTGTACATGTAATATTTTTATTAAGTCAATATTTACTTATCAACATTTTTATGATGAGTTGAACGTGTATTACATTTTTTACAAAGAAAATATTTAAATTTTACAACAATAATCATTTCGTTGGACCCACATCCCTTTTTCATACACGAAGAATGGCTTTAAACCAACACACCTTTAAACTCTTACAGACAAGTTAACCAGCATCATCCCTTGCGTTAACCATTTCAAAACAACATCATCCCTCATCTTCTAACAGACAAGTTAACCACTTCAAAACAGCACCATCCCTACCATCTTACAGACAAGTTAACCACTTCAAAACAACATCATCCCTCATCTTCTAACAGACAAGTTAACCACTTCAAAACAGCACTATCCCTACCAT